TGGAAATTGAAAGTGTTTCTTTATCATAGAAGAGCGAAAATGCGATTTCAAACATTCATTTTGGATTCTGATCGAAAGTAGTCAACGTTTGTTAGTTCCAACCCTTCGCCGTTGACAATGTTTTTCAGTATAGATATTCGTTACTTTCTGATGAGATATTAACAATATTATTTGTGACTAACGTAAAGCAATATCTTACATAAATCAACCGTTTGAGCGACAAGCGGCACGATCGCGGTTTTCTGCTTAAAAGTGCCAGCCAATTGGTTCGTGGAATCAAATTAAATTCATTCATCTCCTTTCCTCCTAAGAGATAGAACCATTTTCTTTCTATGTTTTACGTATAAAAGCATTACACAGAATATAATACCAAATGTCAAATTTTATAATCCTCCTGCATGGAATGAATGAAAGACGGCTCTCGAATACAAACGGTCGAAACTTTATTATTTACCACACACTGTCCCTCAATATCGTTTTTGCAACGTGCAAAATTTTAATCTCGTTATTTTCGAGTACCACGATAATACAACACGCTCGTCGCCACGAGAAGAAAGCAAAGTTTTCAACGGTATTCTTCCGTTGGCGATTCAAGAGAAAATTTAGCGATGCTCGCGAACGAAAGAGGCGCGCTCGAAGAAAAGAGCGCGCGGAATAAAAGGCGCGAGGAATTTTCAAGTGGGTCGCGACGAGGGCCGACGACAAGCCGGCCGAACTTTCAGCACCGGAGGAGCAGGGTAATTAATATCAGTTAAGCGGGAACTTAGAAGATGCAATAAGTTAATAAGCATAGCCGAGAAGTTCAGCCCGCTGATCCACGGGCCGTCCAGTTCCGGTGGGCTCGATCTGACACGGTCTTGCCGGTTTCCCACGCTCGCTATTCGTACACGAACGCTAATTAACCGCGACCGAAAGATTCCCAATCTCCCAGGAGACTGCGCGCTTGAAAGTAACGATGCAGCGTGGCAGTAAACCCAACGGAGCCATAAACTTGAGAATCCTTTTGTGGATATATACCACTGGGGTCTTCAAGTCCAGATCCATGCTGCGGAAAGCTACTACGAGAGTGTTTCCGAAAAGGAAATAAATCGAAGACGATGACGGATTGCCGTAATATATTTCATCGATCGTGAAGTCAACGATTTTCGTTTGTTCCTGAGAATCCGGGGCTGGTAGACGTGAGAATCGTTTGCTAGCGGTTGATCAGTCCTTCTTGTGATCGTTCTCGCGAAATTAATAGGTTGACTTGACTAAGTTGCTTGGAGATAATCATAGTATATGGGATAATCGGAGTTGAATAGAAATATTGAACCTCTCGCTAGAGAAAGTTTTTCGCTAGAAATATTCGTTTTCTGTTGAGATGTAGACGATGGTTGTTGAAACGATTTTACTCGGATATTTCACGTATCGATGTGTTATATAAAGTTCAATATTAAACCTTGAAATTTATAAGTTTACTGTATCGAAATTTAAGTAGGGAGGCAGTTAAGTACCCAGATAATATTGCGACACGAGAACTGTGATACCAAGTCATTAACCCTTTGGCTGAAATAATCACATATAATATATGACTAACGGAAGATACAATTGTTAAATTAGAATGCATTTACATCAGATCTAAATTAGCTTCGCTGCAATTATTGTCAATAACGTTTTACGAGCGTCCATGGGCGCCAACAGTACACCGAAACTAAACGTTTAAAGCGCTTTTAGGCGTCAACAGTAGCCAAGTTATTAATGAATATCTTTAATACCGTTTATCTTCACTACGGTCATGTAAAAAGTTCAAAATTCTCGTAACATCCAAAGCGTTAGTATTCTAAGTAAATAGCAGCACAAGAGAGTGATGTTAACCGTTCGATTTTCGAGCGAGGAAATGTAACGAGGTTCGATGTCAGGCGATGTTGAACGCGCGAAAGATGTCAAAGGGAGCTCGCAGTCGCGCGAACCTCCAATTTCACGGAGATCGAGCGAGCCCCGGTGATCATCGCTGCCTGCCAATAATCGCTCGATGCCTGGATTGCCGAGGCGAACGTGTCGCTAATAGGTAAACACACGTGCATAAATACGCCGCGCGGATAGAGGGAGGAGCGCGCGATTGCGCTGCCAACCGTAGATGTACTACCGAATCTGGTTTCCGGTCGAACTAACATGTAACGTATGATCTGCGACGGCGTCGGGGAACCATGGGCCAGGCTTACGCGGGAGCCCGTGCCGGCTTAAGGCGGCTAACGGGGTGTTTGCACGTCACGTTACACGAACGCCGCGTATCGTGACGCGACAGGGAACGCGTGGCTTTAAACCATCCCATCGGCTCGATTTAGGCCCTGATGATTATCGCCTAACGTATTCGGCACCCTGATTTTTAATACGACGAGAGTCGACTTAGCGAAAGACGATTGACTTGTCGAGCGACGGTCTCTTTGATCATGAATCTCCTTATAGGCAGGAGTGATGTAAGTAATGCGGTGAAGCTTCGGTATGTTGAAGCTCTGTAAGTTGGAAATCTCTGTGATTTGGAGATCTCTGTGACTTGGGAACCTCTATGACTCGGAAATCTGTGTAAATAGGATGGCACTGTAACTGGGAAGTCTTTGTAATTCGGTGATCTATGTACGTCGAAAAGTTCTATAATTCGAAAGATCTGTAACTCGAAAAACTCTGCAATTCGGTGATCTATATACGTCGAAAAGTTCTATAATTTGAAAGGTCTGTAAAGCGAAAAGCTCTGCAATTCGGGAGCCTCTATAATCTTCTACAACTCGAAATCCTGTACCACTCGAAAACCTTTAAAACTCAAAAGTCTTTACAACTCGAATAGCTCTATACTTGGAGAATCTCTACCATTCGAGAACCATTATAGCGTGAAAATGCTTTACCTCCTCCTGCAATTTAACTGCACTAAATCGGCACGGAAAATGTGTTACGAATGATTTCAAGGAAATGATACCGTTACAAGTGCTAATAATGAAATTTTATAGAAACTACGCGGCATACCCTCCTCGTATGTTATTTTAAAATCGCCTTACTGCAAAGTCAAGCGCGTAATTGTACAACGACCAGAATACAGCGTTAAGACTTTCGAAACTGTTAACACGATAATCCGCTTCCCGAAAAGTTCCGTGGCGGCCGATGTCCCCGATGGTAGGAACTCTGTCAACTGTTTCCAAGTAGCATGGCCCTATTAAAGATTTCCACTCCATCGAGCTTATTACATTATTATTCTAACACGTAAAGCTCGATCGATCTTCGACTATTCGCTGTCGTCGAAGCTTTCGAAAATCCCTGCCACGGTCTTTTACTTCATTTTAATAAATTTATTCTTCATTAGAATCAAGTTTCTCAGAAAGAATCGTGAGAAGAAGACCGACGTCGAATCACAATGTTTAGTAACTAAAGTTAAGATAGTAATTAAAGAGAAATTAAAGACAAATTACTAAATAATAGTATAACTTAACCATGAACCTACTACTATTAAACCGAATCATTGATAACCAATTACAACGCCATTTATCTTTGTCACGAAAGAATAAGTAATATTACACGAAACGCTCTAAAGTTTCGTGCCAGTCCATCTTTTCACCACATTCACCTGCTTCTTTCAATTCCCCTCAGAGCAAAATACTACAAATCTCTAAATAAAACACTTAACGATTCACTTCCATCTCTTCGATTTTTCTCAGAACAAAATCATATAAAGTCATCAACAAAACGCACGACGGAAAACTCCTTTTGTCCTGCAACGACCCGGAGCTTTTCTCGTTCGCAACGGACGGTAGGTTGATGCACCGGCCAGCGAGTAAACTGAACTTGTGTAAGCGACACTGAAACGCTGTTCGGACGTTCCTGGTTGAGCAAAATCCGCCCTCGAGAATGCGATGCACCCGTTCCGATACTCTATCGATCCGAGTCGAAGGAGTCCGTTTATGGGCCAGCGGACGCGGGCCACGGATCGAAGTGACATTAAGGAGGCGTGAAAGGCACGCGCGGGATTAACCCAGCTTACGGGCTCTAAGACGATGTTTGCACGTCAGCTCGTGTACACCCGAGGCTTGCTGCGAGCGGACACACGCATATCGCGATCGGTAATTGGCCGGCGACACCCGTGTGTATCCTCGTCGGTGATCATGGACGGAAATTCATTTAGAAGTTGACACACGGTAGGACCTGGATTAATTGGGTCGTCATTTTCCGGGATATTGATCACTCGGAGCCTTAGTTTTCGGTGAAATTAACCATTTTGATCTCGACGATTTGTTATTTGAGTGGACAATAATTGTTGCGTAAGTTCGCTCGTCATTCATATTGTGTTAATTGATAGACAGCGGATTTTATGTATCTATGGTAAATACAGGCGCATAGAATTTTAACCTTTTGCGGACGGACACTCTTTAAAATGCACAAAACTTGCAAGGTGTGAAGCTGAATTGTATATCGAATGCTTAAACAATGGGGAAAAGGAAACTATACATTGATCTCTTGCTATTCAAGTAATCAAAACATTCGTCTGCAACTTAGTATTCCAAATATAACAATTTCATCTCAGCAAAATGTCGACATTCGTCCACAAAGGGGTTAAGTAGAGGAATGTTCGTAAGAATTTAAGAGTATTGCAATTTCTTTCTTAACGTGCCAAAATTCTCGAAAGAAGAAAGTAGTTTCTACTTAAAAATAATTCTTATTTTGTATTAAGGTCATAGTTCAAGAATTAATATTCAAAACCGCCGCGAAGTTACAGTTGCATGAATTTCATTGGACTATTAAGTAATTCGCGACTGCCTTTTATTTCTTTTTAAGAACGAGACGCTCCTGTTGCAAACAGAGGCTCGTTCGAAACCGGATGAATACCTTTCTCGCGTTACGACACCTCCACAGGCGCAAATTATCGATCGAAAATTTGATACGGAACGACGATGCGCGACAATTACAGGTGCGTCAGACGATATCTTTCCCATTCAGTTAAAAAGGAAGGGGGACTTCACTTATATAAGTGAAGAGTCTCGCCTGATCGTTCGTCTGTCGAAAGTCGTTTCCTAGTTGAATTGTGCATTGGTATTTTGTCCGTTCGCCATGCATCGATTATTGTGCTTCGCTCTCTTGCTCATCGTTTTTCCATTTGCCATGTAAGAGTCATTGTCTTTCGCAGGTTCAATCAAATTTTCATTATAGCTGTCATTACTATTTTTTTCTTGCCTATTGGCCAAACAATCGAGCTGCTAATTATTATTATTTTCTTTACTCTATAAATAGTCAGTACAATTAGATCCAACTTTGACACCAGAACCACCATACAGATCAAAATTTTCTATTAAAAAATGTCTGTTTCTCAATTACTGAAATACACTAAATTCGTGTATTTTCACTGATACAGCAATAAAAGATGCTTGCAATTTCAAGAAATCTATTTGTGCGAAAGGTATTCTAATTTCCCTCGACAATTCTAGTGTTAAAGCCCGTCCAAATTGATTGTGCATATACATCTACATACGCATCTACATACATATATCTATATTAATATACGAATGAACAGTGCCCATAGAAATTGCGTGTACAATTGATTCGCGGTGTGCTACCGACTCTATCTTTATCATTAGCCATTTCATTAATTGTTCCAGGCAACAGACGGCGGGGAGAGGGGCGTGTAAATGCGGTGTGTTTCCAATGGAGATGTCGAAGTTGATCATCGAACGGTCGCTTGAGTTGAACGTCACCTGTGACAGCGAAGGGGAGGAGAAGTGTCTACGCTTGTGCGCCGCTTTGGTAAGTAAATGATCCGGCTCATGTATCTAGCGATTAAACCGGAGGAAATGGAAATTGTGTATAGGCGGAGAGTGTGCGGGAGAAGGCGCCGCATTTGATCTGCAAAAAACTCAACGTGCAAGTGGAAAATATGTGGGTGAGTCCTCTTTCTCAATCCTCCATCTCATTTCTTCGATTTGCGAGACTAGATTGCGTATTTATTAAGAAAAAGTGAAATTTAGTTTTTCGCTCTCTCTATAATACACGATAAACCACGATAAAGTAGTGCATCCCTATGTGTATGTAAAATAAATGTTTACCAGTTGAATAAATTCGAGCCAGCGAAGTTAACTACATTAGTTTAGGAAGGAAACGTTCAGCGATTGAACATTTCGTTCTGTATTCGCACAGATATCGTAGATCAGAGTAATCTGGTTTCTTGAGTTATCAGTGGTACTCATCTGGATTAGGTCAGTAATGGGAAAATCAAGATTAGGAGGTTCACGACGGTGAAATGCATGATTTCTTCCAGGTTGAAGTCTACGCGAGGATCTGCGACGCGACTGCCTGGAAGTTCACCGGCCTGAGGAGCGCGGAACCGCTTTGCTGTCATGATGGGAAGTCGATACCTTGCAGAGAGTTAGCTGCATCGATCGTCGATTAAACTGTTCCTGTTTTTTCCTTCGATGGGTTTCCTGTTGTTACCGAAACTCGGACGTTCGAACGATATATACGGTCCATTAAAATTCAGTAAAATAAAAGGTTGAATGAAGACCGATGAATGTTTCTTTTCATTTCGAATCCATAGTGAAACCTTGAATAGAATAAACCACAGTATAGATATTAACAGAAACAGATAATACAGAAAGATAATATACTCAAGAATATATAATATTATTATAAAAAATAAATAGAAAAATAATATTCAATGAAAAATAACAATATAAACAGAGGAAGTGGTTGACTACGGTGTCCAAAAGTCAACGTCGCTGGAAATTCACGCGAAAATCGTGAATGTTAAACGGGGATAACGCAGAATTTTTTAATTGTGCTGTACGGGATGCTATTCTGATATCGTTCGAGTTATAGAGTTTTATGGATTCACCCTAAAGGCTCCCGTCTGCGTGTAGCTTTCCAATTTGTTCGTCGTTTAATCGGCAATTGATGAATTCGGTCGCAACGTCTCGCGATCGCTCGCGACTGGCGCAAATAAGGATCGAATCGGTGGAAACAGATTGGTCGAATTCGCATTAATTGCACGGCTGAGTGAATTTAATTACCGTCTGCTACGGCGACGTTAATATTTCACGCGGACGGAAAAGGTTCGACGCCACCAGATCGCGTAACGTAATAGTAAACTTTCCCAGTGAATTAATAATAAACTTATAGAGCCTTACACCCGGGCATCCGCTCTCCTTCGAGATTACTCGGCTACGGAAGTTTATGCAGATTCGCATTTTTCACTTGTTAACTGAGTAGAACGAGAAGTTAATTTGTCAGTTTCATTAAACTACGTCCCGTGATCAATTATGTCTTCTTCTTTGCGCATTTAGAAATTTCATAGCGAACAAATCACCTAATTCTATATCAAAACTGTGAGAGGCAACCATACATACACTTTTGCTTCCAACCTATTTCCATCAGAAAACTAAATATGCTGTATAGTAGTACTACTGTTTTATTTGAAATATTGTCATTACTAATACTGCATTGAATGGCGATCCATTGTTGTTAGATAAGTGAACATAAGTCTGTATAAAGATCAGGTCTGAAGAGGTTAACCTCTTACGTTAGAATTGAATTGTGAGACTCAACAATGTCTTGCGTGAAGAATTTTGCTTTTACCTATTTCACCCGTATATGCACACAAGTTTTGTTCATTAATAATGTCGTGTAGAGTGATACCTTTCAAACCAACCTGGTATACACAATGCAACAAGGCTGTCGACGTTTAGAAGACGCCGTTGGCAATTTTGGAACAAAAATATCTCGACGTACGTCTTTCCAACGCAAGAGGTTAAAGCAAATGGTCCGAGCAACTTGCACGCATATCGAACTGGCACCATTCGGACCGCATTTGCGATGTAAAAATCAATTCCAAAGGCACCGAACCAACATGACCCGATCCATCTTCCAGCCAGTATCTAATCGGGCCCCGAACGTCAAAGGTTCTTCTACCGGGTTACCCTTCTTAAAAGCATTAAACGTCACCGGTTTCCGCTCGTCTCACCTAGCAGACGATTCTACGTTCGGCACGGGTCGTCGAGGTAACACCGGAATACAAAGTGAGGCTCACGGACTCTCGGATATCTTCCATTCCGTCGATGGTGTACCGAGAGGCTCGTCGCCGAGAAGCCGTGCCATTCAATAGAGGGTTTGTTATCGTTCCCCTGACTTCCAAGCGATGAATTCTCGGCAGTGGCTCTATATCGAACTCCTGCCACAGCCTTGGCGGCCATTGTGCTCCTCGCGGTCTTGTCGTGCTTTCTTCGACCCGGTTTAATGAGTTCCCCGTTTTCGCGCGGCCCCTGTAATTCTCTCCCGGAAATCCAGCCGATTCGCCGACTCGTCGCGAGTGCCATTTATTTCGTTTTTGGAAAATTTTGTTGGCTCCTTGCTTTTCGACAAAGAAACCGCAGTCGAAGATTGAAGAATTCTGGTTTCTCCGTTTGCGGTTATTGACGAGGGACCTGTGGATGGTTCTTCGTGAAAGGATTGAACGGAATTATTAAAAGTTATGAAATTTAGGTAGTTCCAGTGTTGACACGTGTCTGATATACGTACAGACGCGGATTTAAGTTTACTTAACCCATTGTCTTATGATTTATGTCTGAGCTACGATCAGTACAACTGGTTTGTCATTAATAATTTATTGAAAAGGAGGAAAATTCTAGGTACGTTCTATGATGATGTCTGCTTTAAAGTATAATATAATACTTTGCAACAGGAAATTTCATTTGTATTCAAAAGAAATATTTGTGCTCGTTATATTCCGTTCACAATCTTCTGACCCGTTATTATAAGATAAAGGGTTAACGAAATTTCAAGAAAAAGTTGCCTTGCGGCGTCCGAGATATTCCGAAATCGTATTTCCAGCAGCCAATTTTAAAGACCTCTTTATCGTGAAAGATTTTTCCGAAAATTATCTCCCATATAAATTTCATAAATATCGGTTCCGCTAAATATTCCCTCGCTGATTTACTACGCACTTTAATGGTCCATTGTGCTATCGCTTCTAATTAGACTACACGGATTTTATGCAATTATAGTATACACTCGCGAGTATGTAGAGCGTTCCCGATCGAAACAAATAATTTTTATTAGGATTTATTGAATAAACTTTATCGCAACAATGGTCGGCCGATTGGGTCTCCAGGGTGTAACAGTCGGCCGAGCCACGTTTACGTAAATAACTCTACACTGATCGGATAATCAATGCGCTGGGATTACGACGCGCATACATCGTTGGTTCGTTAACCGGGATATTAGGTTCCGGAGGTCGTGAAATTATGGAGGCTCCCCCGAGCAATCGTTAATCGGTTATTAACGGAAAGTCGATTGCTAGAATAAACCGTGCTCGTACTTGCCCTGCGAATTCGACTTTTTTTCACCGGCCAACCGTACATTTGTCTAGCTGCCTGGACTATCCTTGCCGGCGTTATTCCTCGAAACACGTGCAGCTTCGTGGCGTTATTTCAAAGTCACCGGCAGAGGCACGCGCAAGGAATTCCTCGGAAAAACTGATGAAAATGGATCGAGGGAAACAGAATCTCTGCTGCGAAATAATCATGGAAATAAGTCCCGTCAGGATTTTTCCGAAGCCACCTGCACCAGAATGGAGGTGTATCTAGAATCTAGGGTGTGAGTGCGGTAAATAGGGTCCATAAATTAAGGAAGGATGATGGAAGTCACGCGGAAGAGTTATCGGAAAGTAATCGGAGCTCAGACCCGTGCGCGATATTAATACGCGTATTGGCAACGCTGATGTCTCAACCGAGAGCCTACAGATTCGTTGATAAAGATAAATTGCGGATGGAATCCACGTATTAATCAAGTGGAATGACTTGTGTAGATGAAAACGATGTAAGAACGATTTTCGATTTTCCATTAGCGCAATAATGTTATTAGCCATGAATAACGGACAACAGCAGCAACTATGAAACTGGTATTCCAAACAGCCGAAATTGAATTTGAATTGGTTCGCTGTCATTCGTTCGATACAATCCTCGATATGGGATGAAATATTATGGTCGAAGTTGTGCATAAATGGAATCAATAGTTCATCTATCTTCCTTTTCACGATGGTAATTAACTGTCAATCTTGCAACTAATTAAAATCCCAGACGTTTCGATATTAATCTCTCTCAAGGAACATCTTCTTTCGAGGATTTAAATAAGTCAATAACCTATCTGGAGTGGATTGATACTAGTGGAAGAAAACTTCCCCTGATGCAACAGTGGTCATATTTGAAAATTAAATTAGAAATAGCATATTTTTGCACACTTTATGGAAACGCTATGCTTTGTACATATAAAAATAATATAACTACGTCCAATCGATAATAATTTTATTTTGATGTATTTAGATTTAAAGGAACAGAAGTCGGTTATTTACTGCAAGTTTCACCCTCTAGTTAATAGATCAACGTTACAAAACTTAATTCGATGGTTTTGAGAACGATGGGAATTTATTCGTCGTTGGGACAGCGTATAATTATTTTCAACTCAAACATCGATCTATCACGGACGACGATGGCAGAGCTCCATTTTCCTCGAGCAATTTCCTAATCGTAATTACTTTTCGTGGCCCTGCAAGGGACAATTCTGGAACTTGTCGGGAAGAAAGAATGGAAAATAAAAATCTGTGAAACAATTGCACCATCTTGAATCACAAGTTCGGTAAAGTCGGGACCAATGGTCGCGGCCGGAGGTAGCTCTCTGAACAGCGGGAGGGTGAAAGTTGCTCGCTTAACAGTGAAAACTTCGAATGCTCTCTGCTTTGTGCCGGACCAACAGCGATGCAGGATTATAAATGAACAGGTAGTCGCTTGAAAGCAAAGTTAGAGAAAAGATTCAGACGGGAGAATGTCCAATGGCAGCGGTGCAACAACTGCGAATAAAAATGTTTCGTGCGGCAATGAAAAGGTTGAGCGGGTATACTCTAATTGAATACGTTCCGGGATTGTCAAACCGCAGGACAATTAACAGATGAATTAAATTAATGCCCTCTGTCATTATTGCACTGGAGAGTGCATCGCGGAATCGAATTACGCATACCATGTATTTTGTATATAAGTGGTGGATCTGTGCATAATAAAAGGTACGGTAAACAGAGAAAGTTCAGAATAAATATTGTTTTCAGTCGTTAATGATTGTCCGTGGAATATCCCAGAATCTATATTAAGAACTAATAAAAAACATTTACTGAGTTTTTAATTAATATTTGAATTTATCGAAAGAATGAAATGTAATGTAAAAGCAATATAAATACATGCAGCGCCATCTATGATGAACTGTACAAATCTGACAATTGTGCAAGATGAAAATGTCAGCAAAGATGCAACGTGCATTTTTCCACCGCTGATAGGCAGAATTACTAGCTTATCAACGAGAGATAAGATAGAGTAGATATCTTATATCTTAAAAGACTTCATGTAGATTAAA